AATTTTCTCTGTAGGGTCAGGAGATGTGCAAATTAGAAGTTGCCAAAAATATTTCATAGGTGCCCACAGACTAAGACCTTGTACTTGTCTTTAAACAGACAAAGAATCTCAAGTCTAGCAAGTAGACTAGAGACATGTCAAGTGATGAAATTGAATGTGAATGTAAAAGCTTTTCTCTGCTAAAAAAGAACACAGCCTTTAGAATAATATTAGCAAACCCTACTATGTCACATTGTTACAATCAGCATCTCTCTGGGAAATAAGAATACATTAGTTCAGGTCAATATCTGCACTTCCATCAGACAAAATTACCTAACTGTCTTTGTCTGGTAATGATAATGACATTGTTAGCCTCCAGGGAGTTGACGTCACACAACTAAGCAACTCAGGAAGAGCACTGTGTATAAGTGAACCAGCAAAGACCTCCACAAAGTATGAACTGATTCAGCTGAGGGATTCTATTCCAGTGCTGCTGTGCAAAAACCCAAATGTGCCCCAAGCTGTACTTAAAAGAAAACAAGCAAATTGCAATAGAGTGTTTTAGTCATGTAAACAGTTGTAAGTGATCCATCAGAAAGGAAACATTTAAGGAATAGGAGGGGTGCCTATATCAAATCTACTGTGTTCAAATCATACTCAGATGTATACGTGTGTATTTGCGGTTGTGATGGCTAATATTCCTTTCCCCTGTAAAAAATTGAAATCCTTTCTCTAATGTCTCTCACTATTTGTATCTATCTACTTTTCTATATGCACCTGCTTGCCTACCTATAAGTACACCTAGTTCTTCCAAATACAGCTAAGGTAACTAAACATCCAAGCCTGTGAATAAGGCTAACTGAAATGTATTGTCATCATTGAAGTAAAGGTGGAACATGAAATCGTTTTCCACTGCTTGAAGACTGTGCACTGTTTGCACACCCTGTCTATTTAATAAGAAAGGAACAGCCAGTTTATCAGAGTAATCATGGGGACTAAGGTGGGAGGATTTTTTGGGTGTCTGTTCAAGGCTTTACATGAAGCTAATTCTCTCTGTATATTGCATTTATTTGATTAAAAGAGAAGTTCAGTCAATATTGCTGTAGAAAAGCTGAGGCATGTCTGAACTCATTAAAACAGGTTTTGCACACTGACACTGATGAAAGAACTGATGCTGGTGCTGCTGCAAGTCCATTTAGTTTTTATTTGACATCAGATTGCTTTGCCTGTACTGTCAGAGCTTGTATATGAAGTTGCAGTACCATGAAAAAAGAGCGTATCTGACAAGGACCCAGGGATTTCTCAGATGATACCTGTACACTGCCTCATTTGCCTGGTGTGTGATATAACAGGTCTGGGCTTTCATTCTCCTTCTTCCCCATCTCAAAATGGTGCCTATGGTCTCTCCACAATCTCCTCCAAATAGCTGCATGTGGGAGGAAATACCTGCAATACAGCTTCTCCTACCCTCAATCCACCTCACATATGTTTGAGATGGGAAAAAGAAATGGGGCAGTCACAGGCATCCGAACTTGGCACTTGCGAAAGGAAGTAGCTCTGCTAGAGCTAAATCTTCTGCTGCCAATGGTTTTCAGCCCACTGGGCTGCCAGGAAAATCTGCTGTCAGTGGATGCAGCTTACCTAACCTCATAACTGTGTGGACAGATTTTTTGTAGGGCATTCATGAAGGCTGTCTTAGCCTGCTCAGGCTCATGTCACCAGACTGCTTCTATAGCCTGGGTGGGAGCAATGAAGCATGCAGGACCAGTATGGGATCCTGTTTCTCTCTGGTGACTGCAGAGGTGATTAGCCTCACAACACTAAAGTTAGCTTCCATGAAAACATTTTTAGTTGGACTTTTATTAAAATGACAGCTTCAGGGTCGAGCAGATTATATTCCTATAACTGTATTTTGACGTGCTGTTTTGCTTTATTTCTATCTTCACGGTGTTCCTTAAGCACTGCCCAGAATTTTTAGAAACTTCAGATCTAATCTGATTCATCTGTTTTGAATAACCTTGCAACGTTAGCCAGGGAAGATCCTTTTTATTCCCTCTTTTAATCTGCAAGCTAGGTTTCTAAAAGGATTTGTTCCACTCTGTTCATCTGAGGGTTTCTTCATCAGTTCCCTTTAATGAATTCTGAACACACTGGTCAATTCTGATCCTGTTTGCCAGGGCACAGAAGTCTCAGAAATACTTGCTTATTGAAAAAAAAAATGCTGAGGAGAGGTTGAAGCATTGGAGCTTGATTAAACTAGAGGGCAGTGTCCCCCCCTTACCTATAAGAAGGTGGGCCTTGACTCTTCACAAGGTTGACAGGCAGGAGAAGAGGCATAAAGCGAAACAGAAGAGTTTCATGCTGGATAAAAGGAGAAGCTGTTTCTTCAGGCAATGTCCCAGAGAGACTCCACGCTTGCATTGGAGGTTTCAAGATGCAGCGGAATGAAGAGCTAAACAACCCGTTGTGATCTCAGAACTGACCCTGCTCTGAGTTAGATCTTAAACTAGAGCTCTCCAGAGGTCCCCTTCTTTTCCCCTTGATTATATTGTGATTCTGAGTTTTGCCCATAGAGAACCTTAAGCACTACTGGATTTAGGCAGAATTGCCTAACCAAGCTCAAGGTGAAAACTCAGTGGATTTTTTTCATTATACTTAGGAGGAAATATTTAAAGGTTTGTCTATTTTTTTTTTTAGCAAATAAACTACTTCAAACTCTCTATATTTACATGTATTAACCTGGAAAAGCTGAATTTTTTCCAGTGAATCTCAGAACTACACATGACAGTAAAAGTTTGAAATTAATTCTTGTAACCATGTTCTGGGATTCAGGGTCCTTGCCTTCAGCATTGTCTCTGTATGATTACTTTCCTGTGACTCTAGCAATAGAAAATTTATATTACCTCATCAGGAAGCAGTGGAGCCCCATCTCTAATGATGAAAATCCCTCCCAGTGTATCCAATCTGAAAAAGTTCAAGTCCTGCTGCAGGCCCTAAGCTTCAATATCATTCAAAAGCCAAATCAAAATCTTTACCAAAACATTCAGTAGCAACATGATTCTGCTACCAGAGTCAGACCCTGCTGCAGTCTCAGCTCTTTCGCTCCTCCCAACTCTTTCAGCAGAGGGCACCTTTGGATGAGAGAGGAATCAATCATCCTAACTGGGACATGGAAAATCTTGTCTCCCACACTCCACTTCTATAAAGCACAATGACATCCAGATGAACCTAAAGTTCCCACTCTTTTGCCCTTCTAGCAAACCTGCTATCTTCAAAATGAAGGTTGCCAGGGCACCTCCAGGGCTGTTCTCTTGGCAATGTAATCCAGCACAATGCTGCTCTGATGGCTAGGCAGCAGGTAGGACACAAAACCAACCTGCCCTCTGAGGTTGTTCCTATGCTTTGTGGATATGAGACCACTTGAACTGAGATAAGAGATACTCCTACAGAGACACTTTCTCAGCTTCTAACACAAGTACCTGCTGTAGGCATCCTAGGCAGGTAGACCATATGCTTATCCTGTCTTTTCTTCTCCGAGCAACCTTTACCCTTCAACTCCCACCAGGTTTTTTTGTCTTGATTTGTCTTGACCACCAGTTCCCAGGATCCATCCTCAGAGGCCCATCTCCCTATCACACACTGGCAGAATTTTGTCTTTTTATTCCACTTGGAGAAAATTTGGTAAGCAGAAAGCAGAAGCCCGTCTTTGCCCTTTTTAGTGACATTTTTGACTTCCATAGAATTCCAGCTAGGCAGCCGACTCTAGAGCTTCTGCTTACCCCATGCAAGATAATGTTACTGCAAACATAGTAAAATTTTTTTGTTATTTATCTGAAAATTATATTTTGAGGACAAGAAAATAAAATTAGTGTGTTGAAAGATTTACTCTGCAATGTTCTCTGCACCAATGAATGGCAGCTATGCTCTGGCATAAAGACTACTTTGCAGGTCCTGAGAATGGACTGCCAATTAAGAACACTAGATGTACACACAGATTAAGAATTAATAGAGTTTATAAATATATTCTGCTGGTCAAAAAATATTATCTTTAATTCAATCTGTAAATGTGGTTTGCATGCCACACGTCTGTTTATATGTGTGAGTGCTAAAGCTGTTTTAGTAGAATGGACAGGCATGCATTTCATATTTTGGTAATAAATTAAGCAACGGCTAATTTTGACTCCCCAAGTACTCATCCAAGAAGTTAATTGTGAAATTTAGGTGCATATTACTTTCTAACTGCGTTTACATCACAAACTTATTCTTACTTGAAATACTTGTAGTCCCTTGTGATTTTTGAGTGTGAAATATTCTTTGTGGTTTTGTGTTTTTTTTTCCCACCTCATGAAACTATTGTTTTAGGGTTAACAAAAGGAAATTTATATTTTGAAAGATCTGTATTCCTGTGAAATGACTTTTTTTTTTTTTTTTTTTTTTTTTTTTTTTTTTTTTTTTTTTTTTTTTTTTTTTTTTTTTTTTTTTTTTTTTTTTTTTTTTTTTTTTTTAGACATACTGCTCAGGCTTCTTTTGGCAAATATTTGAGCAAATTCACAATGAAAATACCATTCAATATTTGTTTTAATGGAACATCATTTTGGAATGATAATTTGAATGGTTTTCCTGTGGACGAACTACCTCACGTAGCAAACACAGTTATGCCAAATGTATTCATTACCATAAGTCTTGAGAGAAATTCAGTCCCCCTCAGGCAAAAATTAAAAAATAGAATGTTTAAACAAGCAATCTGTGTGGTGTTTATCTACACATGGGTTCACATGCCTAACATTCCTACTGACAACCATATATCTTTTCCCTACTGATTCCTTTCTGGTGCTTCATATTGATTATTGCAGTTCTCTTTATCATTTTTCCATTTGTATCCCAAATTTATTAAGTGATTTATAACCAAAACCATGATCTCTGGTCTAAATAATCTGAATGCTGAAAATAATATTAGACTAATATGCAACCAGATACTGAAACATTTCATTGTGTAACAATTCCTTCAGGTCATTAGATTTCTGTGGCAGGTGTTGTTTTATTTGCAAATTCCAACAAAAAAGCCTGTTTCCTGCAATATAAGATTTTGAGGATGGGAAAATTACAACGCTTGGAATATTTCTGCAACATATGTCAGCTTCTTCATTTCCATGGGTTGGACAAGTAAAGAACCCAGTACAGCAGACAGTACTGTATTGTGGAAAAGAGAAAGAATGGAGAAGAGAAAGTGTTTGCAAAGACTTCAGAAGAGTTTGGTATATGCATTCAAATCTAAATACAAGTCTATCTTGGTGTAACTCTGGAAGTTAATAAGATCACTGTTATTGGGGTTAAACTCATCTGTATGTATACATGTATGTACTATGCACATCTATGCATTCAAGTGGCCAATTCCATCTGGTTTCTATTATCTTGGTGTAAAGACATACACAGTGCGATAGACCTATTGATGGAAAATTCATTAGAGATTTGCCAACATCATTTCTGTAAATTCAGAAGAAGTAACCGAACAGAAAAATGCCTTTACCAAGTTGACCCCCTGTCCTCATCACTATGGCATCTCAGTATGTTCATAAAAACTCTGATTGTGGGGTCTGTTCTCTCTCACACATGGTTCTTTTTTCCTCTCCTTCCTTCTATCCCCATGCAGGAGTTAGGGGATGGAACTGGATTAATTTACAGACGTAATTACTCTATAACATGCAATACAATTTTCTTAGTGAGACATATCAAGAAATGGCACCTTTTAATTTGAATGTAGAGTAGCTTAGTTCATGTGAGAACAGGTCCTGTAATCTTTTAGAGACATAAGGGAACATGAAACCGGGAAAATATATTTTTTTTTAAAAAAGTTCCATCACTGAAATACTGAGAATGACACTAATTAGCATCTCTTCTCCGTGTTACACCTTTAAAATCCAAATGAGACTGGTATGTGTAAAAAGTGGCATAGTAGCTGAGTAAATTACAGCAACTTCAGTATCTGAGCATCATTGCTCAATGCCAGTAAAGTCCATTTAGGGAAGATAGATTCAGCAGTGTTGGTTCTGTCATAACCCTAATGTCATGGCAGCATAGAGTATGCTCAGCTCCAAAAACAAACTGAGAAGACTGGTAATGTCTCCCTAACTCAGTCTTAGCCCCACACGTCTCTCTCTGAAGTGTAGCAAGCTGAAGTGCATCTTTTTCCAATATCCCAGATGGTTCTTGTACAATCCCTATAACTTCATTCAGTCTCCTATTCCCTTCCTGCTTTTCCTTCCAAAATGCCACTGACTATGAATAATTTAATTTGCCTGCCAGAGTTCTCCATCACTTTCTTCAGCCTTAAGAGAGTAACTTTCTAACACTGTATTTCAATGTCTTCTGGCAGAATATTTTCCATCTGCTTTTTAGATGCGTGAGTGTGGGAGGGGCAGAGGAGGCTGGGATGACGGGGGTGGTGTCAAGGAACGACGCCAAGACATACTGCTCTCGTTGAAATGATCTACTGTTTCCTTTCTGTTTCTACAGGGCTTGGTACACTGCTCTCACTTCCCTTCAGTGTGGCTGCTGTTCCTCACTTCACCCTAAGGTAAGGATAAAAAAGAAAGAGGAAAAGAAAGTCAACTCCTTAATGCATAACTTTCAGAATGTGTTTAGGTTGGAAAAGTCCATGAAATAAAGCTTTTATCCCATTATCCTGGGCTTATCATCTCAGCTAGGACAGTAACTCGTATGAGAAGTATTTGAAGTATGAGCACTGATATGAAGGGACAGAGGGAGCTGGGCAAGAACGTGGGCACCCAGAAGGAAAAGGAACTGAACTCTGTCTCTGTCAGAAAGCATTCTGGGCATTGCTCTGGGAACTGGGAGGACAAGGAGTTTTCTGGTTATCACAAAAGGAAAATAACATAAAGCTGTAGCTGTTTTCCAAGATACTATTAATAGGAACAACGACACAAGGTTATTTGCCATGTGGATTTTAGGTTTTCTCCTTTACAATGGAGAAATCCCTACAATGAGTAGTTCTCTCTTTGAGCTGGTAGGAGCTGATAAACTCTAGGTCTTCTCTATATCTACATATGCCTTTGTAATTGTTTTCTGTGACAATTAATAAATAATGGGAAGCTGTAAGAGACATCCTGAAGCAGTATTTAGGATTGCATTGAAGTACAGTTATATAATAAGTAGAAGCAACTTGGATTAGCTCATGAAATTCAAGAAACATGACAGCAGGTATTATACTTAACGTGAAATTTATTAATGATAGATAAAATAATACAGTGTTCTGTTCTCCTAAATGACTACTCAGGTAGTTTGATGCCTGTGGCTGTGCTTGGTGTGGTGCACCCCATCACATTCAATCACAGATACTCAGTATGGCTGTGCAGGGTCTTTATGTAAATGGAGACCTCTTGGAAATCCCATCCACCTTTGCCACAAGCCAAGGAACTGAACTCATTCTGTGGAGGAATGGAAATGGAATGCAAAAATCTTTGAGCAGTTTTACTGTCGTTGACATGTAACGTGGCTGCTGATTGCTCCATTTTCTTCTTGATCTTGTGCATTTCGTTCTTCTGAGTTCTGCTAAATACAGTGACAATTCATCTAAGTTATGTAGCTTCTCAGAGGATAATTGATTATTAAATATAGTGGTGTTTTATCCATATAATGTATTTTCTTTAGTAGATAATAATTTGGATATCTGAATGAGTGACAGGCAATCCGATAGGAATTTCCCATTCTTGAAAGTTGTAGTGTAAAATTACCCCACTGAGATGTTCATGGGATAAAGACATGACTTTTCCTGATTCTTTCTAAGAATCATTAAAGCTGAAGTATGTTCTTCTATTTCAAAGAAGCAAACTTAGCTGCTGGTATCTATTCATTATTATTATACTGTGGATATATTACTACTTTTTTTCTCCATAGTTTTAACTGAGTTTAACAGATGAAAATCTATATGTAGCTGAGTAATTAAGTTATAGTTTGTCAAAGTTAGGAAACAATTTGAATGGCAATTCAGAAGAACCTCATCCAATACTTAAGTTAGATCATTGCTCCATGTGCCTTACAGAGTGTACAAGACAAAGACTGAAATCTACAGCTTTGTTCTGCTTTGCATTAAATTGTAGGGTTCTTTCTTTCTTCTTTTTCTTCTTTTTGAGCATATGCCACCAAGCATGCTAATGAACTAGTCAAAGAATCAGCTGTACTAACAGTTAATGAGAATTCAAAGAGATTTATTTAGCCTAGCATCATCATTCAGTGAAGATTCAAAGAGGATTAATTTGATTTGTGTCAAAATGGAGGAATCTTTATATAATCTGCAGTAAAACTTTCATGAATATATTTATGCAGACTTGCAAAGTTCTTCAAATTCATGTGTAAAAGGCTATGGGAGAAGAAGACAATATTTATTTATATGTAAATTATTCTTTTTGTGCATAAAATCTATTTTAGGTTTCAAATGTGTACATATCTCCTCTTTGTGAGACTTACAGAATAAAATGCTTGGGAACTTACAGGATAAAATGTGGAGCTGTTGAAATCAATGAGTTTTATATGTGATTTTAATGGACTCCAATATTCATTTACAAAATACTGATGGGTAGACACAGATAAGAAAGAACTGTGCAACACAGTTCTTAAGGACACCCTACCATACCTCAAAGCAACATTTTTTCTGGAATACATATCATGAATACAGAATGCATATTAGTGTGCTATCAACATTTCATCTGCTCTCTTCTAGAAAAGCTGCATGACTCACATCTTTCTCATACCCAAGTAAAAAACTCGTGCTAATAACGTCATTACAATGCACCAAAATTTCATGTGCGACTATATTAAGTATGGAAAAGACAGTTGATTCCAACACCAGTAAGATCTGTAAGCACATCGCTGTTCCTCAAACTCCATATCATTAGCATTTCCAGAAACTGTGCATGGTGTCCTGAAGTGGTTTTCATGCGCCATTTCCATGGCCCTTCATGTACTGCTGCTTTCACACAATGACCCTATATCATGCATGATGATACTGTGAGTCACAGATGGCTTTATTAAAAGCCTTGTGTTGAGCCATTTTCTTCACATACACATTGAAATCCAAATTATTCATGAGTAACTGTACTTTTGTTAGACAACTTGGGCTATCTAAACTGCAAATTCACAAGACTATTTATGCATGGCCAGAAAAAAAAGAAACTATAGCATACACTATGAAATGTCTTGTCCATCTCTTAAAATGCCCTTCTGCATTTATTTATTTATTTATATTTATTTTTTTTTTTTTTTTTTCACTTTGTTGTCTAGCAGGGCTTTTTAAACAATGGGGAGAAGTAACAAGTGAATTCAATCCTTTGTCTGACTTGTTCTTTCCAAGACTTCAGGTGGGCATTTCTAAGGCAGTGGATGTTAATCCAAGACCAACTATGAGAAGGAAAAACATTTTACTTGATCCAAGTGTTTTTCGGTAATTGATGTTAACGTTCAAATCAAGCAAATATTCCAACTAATATGTGTTTAGGCATAGAACATGATGAAAATAGTAGATCCGGTCCTGTTTTTCACCAAAATGTCCCTTTCCCACTGACCTCACAGCCCAGACTCTATTTATTTCAGTATTCTTTCATGCTTGGTAAGGGCATTTGCTAAAACATTTTCTTTCTGAAGGACCTTTCATGCTCTCTGGATGTGGTTGGTGTTGTCTGTCAGACATCATGTTCAGCACATATTAATAATGTTATGTTTCAGTGATAAGAAAATTAATGTCATGTACTGTCCAACCTATTATATGGATCTTGCACATAACCATTTAGACCTTCAGAATGAAATATTAGCCTTGGCATTGCCTCAAAAAAGTAAGGTAGGGAAAAATCCATTTTGTTCTTAATTTTAAATAGTCACATGTATTTACTTTTTATACTAACAGAATTAAGATGTGGAGAGTGATGCAGCATTTTTGGCCGGGGAAACTTAAAAACAGCAAGCACGTGGAAAGGATACTAGGCTGGTCCAGTGCATCTCCCATGGACATCAAGAGATATTCTGCCATTGGTGTCAGTTGGAGCAGATTCTGTGGAGCTCTGGCCAACTCAAAATCTAATGAGAAATGAAAAAAAAAAAAAAAAGATTTAGAAACTTCACTGACAAAAGTAGTAAAATCTGTTCCTCCCTAAACCAAACCTTAATATGAAAAACTGTGTTAAAAGACTAGGATGGAAGAATTCTCATGAATCTCATGAATCTGTTTTCTTTTCCTCCACATTATGCATACTAGAGTTTCCTTATGTCTTTCTGCACATCTGAAAGCCTCTTTTCTGATACCTCTCATCCTTCCATGCCCCAGGGCTCCTAAATTAGTGTTTTGCAACTGATGATCCTTGCACCACTAGTAGTCCCCAGAAATCCATAAAATTTCCAATAAAAACCCTGAAAATATACCGTAAAACTCTTCCATATGTGTAGTGGGTTTCTGTGGCTGGGTGTTGGTATTGGGTGGGTGGGGGCGTGGGCTACAGAGGTGACTTTGGTTAGAAGCTGCTGGAGCTGCTGCTCCTTGTCTGATGGAGCAAATGCCAGCCAGCTCCAGGATGGGCTTCCTGCCACTGGCCACGGCCGAGCCAACTAGGAGTGATAGTAATGCCTCTGTGATAATATATTTAAGAAAAGAAGGTTGTTGCACAGTTAAGAATTCCCACCAGGGTAGAAAGGAGTGAGCATATGTGAAAAACAATGCAGACACCAAGGTCTGCACAGAAGGAGGGGCAGGAGGTGCTCCAGGTGCCAGAGCTGAGGCTCTGCAGC